GGAGGGGGGATGTGGGAGGAGGCAGATCTCCCAGAAACGGCTAAAGAGGGTTGCTGCTTAAATACTTCGCCCGCCGAGTACGGGAGGACTCCAAGTTCACGGCGGAACATTTTGGAGACAAACCAGAGGACAGAATGATAAACGGGAGGTGTCCAATCCAGAACAGGCTCAGGGCTGATCAGTCCCGCGCCGCCCCTCGGAGAAGTGAGGCTTGGAAGGGGGAATTGTTGAAGGGCCTGGGGCGGGCGGCTGAAGACCTGAAGGTGTTTGAGAGGCTGCCGGTGACGGAGGAATACGGTCTGTTCCTCGGGCCTTAAGGGTGGAGTAGGGCCAGCGGGTGGAAGCGATGGAGGCAGATGTGGCATCCATCGGTGGTCGGTCTGGCCGACTGTTAGGGCTCTGTGGAAACTCAGTTGAATCATGTCTGCAATTCCTGCTCATTGAGCACCTACTGTGTGTCGGGCACTGGGCTAGACAGCGAGGCCACCGTAGTGACGGCCCAGGCTCTCCCATAGTCCCCGTTCCTGTCTTGGAGGCAGATACTAAGGCGAACAGACGTTACGCGGGGATCGCTGCTTCAGCGTTAACCGTGCAGGTGATGGGTGGAGAGCAACAGGGGCTGGGGACCGGTTGTCTCGCCTACTAGCATGTCAGCTTCCGGTCAGTCCCTGTGTCTCCAGGCCTCAGCCAGCGCCCGGCAGGAGGGACCCATTCACTAAACATTCATAGGAGCCATTTGAATTTTCAGCTGTAGGCTCAGGAGGTGACATTGAAGCTGAGATGGAGCTAGTTCCTGGCCAGCTTTTCTGCGCCTTCTCGCCTTTGCCGTATTTTCCCAGGAGGACTTTGGAACGGGGCTGGGTCATGCGATCAGCAGTGCACAGGGCTCCTGGTGACGGGTCGGCCCCACTCCTTCCGGCTGGCAGTTCTAGAAATACTTCCCTACACACCAGGCATGGGCGAAGGGGCCTGCTTTGCGGGAGGGTCTGGAGAGGGGGTGGCAGGACCGGCAGGTGCAGGATGAGAACGAGGGGCCCCTTGCCCGACAATTACTAAGAAGTTCAGGATGGCGACAGCAGAGCACGGAACCTGTGGGACTTTGCGGGTGGCACGCCCACACAGCCCATCCTCGGGGGAGGAAGGAAAAGGAGGGAAAGGAGGGAAAAGAAGAAGAAAAGGAGGATGGGGCGCGAAGGGGAGGAGAACCGAGGGAAGCCAGGGCTGAGCAGGGACCTCGGCTAAGTAGGGCTCATGGGGGACTTTCTGTTACCAGGCACCGGACCAGCTGTGCTATGACTCCCACTCAGCAGGTGAGGAGTGAGGCCCAGAGAGGTTAGGCCACCAACCCAAGGTCACCAATCCACGGTCGCTTCGGCTTAAAGGTCCCTTCCCAGAGAGGTCCTCCCCCCATCCTTGTCTGAACACACCCCCCACTCCCAGGACTCCCCCTCCTGTCGCCCCGTTCCCTTTTCTTCACGGCACTCGCTAGCCCTACAATCTGCCGCCTTCTTCTCCTTGCTGTGTTTCTCTGTCTCGCCTACTAGCATGTCAGCTTCCGGTCAGTCCCGGTGTCTCCAGGCCTCAGCCAGCGCCTGGCAGGAGGGACCCATCCACTAAACATTCATAGGAGCCATCTGAGTGTGGTGATATTTGACATTGTTAACCTTTCACAAATGGCAATTCCAAATGGCCCAGCCTGAACTTGAACGAATGAATGAACCAGTGCATTGCTCCTCTCTGCCCCTCTGAGCTTCCGGTCAGTCCCTGTGTCTCCAGGCCTCAGCCAGCGCCCGGCAGGAGGGACCCATTCACTAAACATTCATAGGAGCCATTTGAATTTGGTGATATTTGACATTGTTAACCTTTCACAAATGGCAATTCCAAATGGCCCAGCCTGAACTTGAACGAATGAATGAACCAGTGCATTGCTCCTCCCTTCTCCTCTGCCTTCTCCTCTGCCTTCTCCTCTGCCTTCTCCTCTGCGAGGCGGGGCAGTCGTTGCTGGGCAGTGTGGCCCTGGCGGCCCGGCTGTGCGGGAGGGGCGGGCATGGGGCGTGGGAGGCCCTGCGGCTCGAGATACGGGCGTGATGCATGAGTAGTGGGATCAGTCCTGGGCGGAGACACAAAGGATGGGAATGACACTATTTAGCGAGGAATGACCTCCTGACACTCTTCAAATAAATGCAGGCTTGTTAGAGACGGGGAGGCAGCTGCTGCTGTGGCCGCCACCTCTGATTCCGGCAGAAGAGAACAAAACGGACTGGCATTGTGTGTGTGTGAGGGTGTGAGTCCGCGCGCATGGAGAGTGTGTCTGTGTGTGTCCATCTGTGTGTGCATGTGTGTCTGTCTCTGTGTGTCTGTCTTCTTTGTGTGTCCGTGTGTGTGAGTGCCCGTCTATATTTGTGTGTCTGAGCATGTCTATCTGTGTGTGTGTGTGTGTGTGTGTGTGTGTGTCTGTGGGTGTGTGAGGGCAAGAGCTGCCTGGAGGCACGGAGGGCCCATCTCTGCCCCCCTGAGCCGCTCACTTTCCATTTGAATGGAACACTCACTGGCTGAGCACCTACTATGAGCCAGAAACTGGACCAGCTGCAGGGGGTGATCTCAGAGTCACACCAACACCAAAGCACCTGGTTGGCCAAGAGCTGGCCACGCCCCTCAATTCTGACTGGCAGGTAACCCAACGGCTGAGGAACTGACCCCCACCTGGTGTCTCAGGTACTTTCTTGGGATGTTTCAAAATGACGTTTCCACTCCTAGAAAGTGGGACTATCTCTTCCCACTTTGCAGCGGGGGAAGCTGAGGCCCAGAGAAGGAAAGCCACTTGCCCAAGGTCACACAGCAAGTGGTGATGGAATGGGCGTCGGTCACACCCAGGAAGTTGGACTTTAGAACTCACATTCTTTTTTAGTCTCAAGATTTTTATGGATTGATAGTAAGAGCAACCATTTGAGAGCATTTGCCCCCCTCCCCGCAATTTCCAAACATCTCTTAGTTTTGAAGGACAGTTAAAAAATGCCCTTGACCCAGCTCATTAAGTCCCACTACTGCCCCAAGGGCTGCAGACTGCCCACTGCTTACAGACAGGAGACGCGATGGGGCTGTAGGGCTGGATGGAGAGCAAAGAAAGGGTCTTATCTCTCAGAGCGGTCCCAGGGCTGCAGTACCCATGTCACCTGGGATACAGGTTAGAGATGCAGATTCCTGGGCCCACCCCAGACCTACAGGAGCAGCATCTCAAAGGGAGGGCCTAGGAATCTGTATTCTGACGAAGGCTTCAGGTGATTCTTATACTTACTTCTATTTCAGACTACAGCCATTCGGGGTGCTGGGACAGCCTGGGGAGGTTAGTGTTAGATCACTGATGGCCTCGATGTGATATGACATTGGAGCTTTGTTCTGTGGGTCGCAGGGAGCCATCGAAGGTGTTTGAGCAAGGGAGGGAGCCGGGTTGTTTCTCTGGTGGCAGAGTGAAGGCTGGGTGGACAGAAATGACAGCAGCAGGGAGAACGGACCCAGGACATGGGTGCAATAATCCATGTGAGAAGTGATAGGGCCTGCACTTGGCTGGAAAGCCTGGGAGGGGTAAGGCAGTCATTACACAGCTCCTCCAGGGCCCTCTTCCAGGCTGAGATCCATCCCTGGGAGGGGTAAGGCAGTCATTACACAGCTCCTCCATGGCTCTGAGAAGCTCAGGGCCCTCTTCCAGGCTGAGATCCATTCACTGAATCTCACCAACCAGAGAAGGCTTCCTGGAGGAGGTGACGCTCCCCCCAGACCTCAGTGAGGGGCAAACCCAGAGAGAAGAAAAGGGATGTAAGGAGGGATAGTCCAGTGTTTAATGTCGCTTCCTCCTATGGGGCTTCCTGCATCCGGGGCGCTGAGCACGTCTCCAGCAAGAATTTCGGAGACCCCTCCCGGGGTGTGCATCTTCCACCAAGACTGGGGAAAGTTGATTAGTGCGGGTGGCAGCCAGGACTGGCGTTTCTAATTAACACGCAGGCAGGGAGAATGCCTCTTCTTCCAGAGCCTGTATTCAGCTGATTGAATATCAGGGCTGGGGCTAAACTATGAATTGTGTGTCAAAAATAAAGCCTGCGCGCTCTCCTCTCGTTAAAGGAACAGTGTCCCCATTTTCAGCCCTCTGCCTCCCCATCAGCTGGCTTGTGACTTGGATCCCGGGAGCTGGGTGTGGGGACTGGGGGCTCCAGGTAGGGATGACAAAGGCGAAGGATTTAGGGGGCGGGGGACACCCGGCCTGGGCTGGGAAACACCAGAGGAAGGTGGAGAGAAACCCCGGATGGGTTTCGGGGGAGCCGCCAGGTTGGGGAGGCGAAGGAAGAGAAACGGGCCATAAAGAGAGAAAGGCGGCTGGCTGTGGCAGGGGAGAGCGCGAGGGGCGAGCAAACACAGGTTCATTAATCTGTAGTTCGTCTGCCTTTTCTGTTAGGAGGATGAACTTGATGAGTTAATTAAGTCGCAGTCTGTAAAACCAGTTTATTTGCATAGCAAACTCCTGGGCCAGTGTGCTGTGAGTTGAGTGTGTACGCGCAGACAATTCGGGGGAAATTACAGCCTCATTAATATGCTAATCTGGTTGCAGGCCTGGAGCGGAGTTTTGGGTTGGTGGTGCTCGGGGGTGGTGGGTGTTCGGTTGCTTAGCAACCCTTTTCTCCAGGTAACCCTTCTCTGGCTTGCCCTTGATATCCCCCAAAGGATTGCAGTGTGGAAGAGGAGGTAAGCGGGGAAAGCATTCTGTTGTCACAGAACAGTGAGCAAAATAAAAGGCTAACACACACACACACACACTCCCAGCCGCATCCACATTATGCCGGGTGTCTTTACAAACAGGCGTGGGAGGGGGCGGGGGGGGGTGTGGGTGCCGTCGACAGACACCAGCACGCAGATGCAGTGTGTGGTCTGTGGCAAGAGACACAGGAGGAACACCCTCCCACACACACGTGTGTGTGCACACAAACAAAACTGACGCAGGGGTTTTGTTTAGCAAATAAACCCATATAATGAGATTCTCCGTCTATGTAATAATGCATGTTCTATGTAATATCCTCCCATTAAACACACACACACACACACACACACGCAAGCAAGCACCAATATCCCATGTAGAGTCTTTACCAACAACACAATAAATACAAATGCACTAAACTTAGTGTGATATTCAGAATATGCAAATGATAAATAATAATCAACTTTGAAACGCACACACGTCACAGAGTTTGTAGACATAGGCCCTGGTGAGAAGGACAGGTGTGTGCCCGCACGGAAACATATGTGTGTCATGTATGACATGTATGCACGTAGACGCTGGGTGTACTATACATGTGTATGTACCAATACGTGCTCAGGTCTACCAAGAGTCACCGAGCACACACAGAGATTGGCATGCAGCGCCCAGCACACACCTTCAGATCCCATCCGTTTCTCTCGCCCTTGTCACTCCCAATCTGGACAAAGCCTGCTTTCTGTACTTCACACCCCTGTTGCATCTCTGGGTCCCAGGCACAGTGACTGCCCCATCCCAGGTATCCCCCTTCCCTTGTTCCTCGCGCCTCCTCCTGGTTGCAACAGTCTCTTCTTTGGCCCATGTGTGTCTGACAGGTTGCATCAAAGACCTCCGGGCTTCCCCAGAAAGAGCAAACAATGGGATTCAACGTGTTCATGCCTCCCCCGGCCATGAGAAAGAAATTTACCACGTCCAGATGGGCTTACAGGTGACGTCTACAAATATCAAGAAGCAGTGGTTGAGCGTCTACCTATGAACCAGGAGGTCACGGTTGATTCCTGGTCAGGGCACATGCCCAGGTTGCAGGCTCAATCCCCAGTAGGGGGCGTGCAGGAGGCAGCTGGTCCATGATTCTCTCTCATCATGGATGTTTCTATTTCTCTCTCCCTTCCTCTCTAAATCAATAAACATATATTTTAAAAAAAGAAGCAGAGAATTCTTGTATTAATATGAGTTGTTCCAGGAAAAAGAAAAGAAAACAAACAAAGCAAAGCTGCCCAACTCACAACCTTGAGCGCAAGTCTGGCCGAGGGTGCTTCTTAGAAATGCGTACTGAACTTCAGCGACAGGAAGTGTGTTTCCATCTGTGAGTAAAATCTGGGAAGTCGGGAACATCAAGAGCGACTGAGCATGTGGTCAAATGAAAGCTGCAGTGTATGCTGACGGACCCGAGTTTGAGGAGCAGTTTGTCAATATCTTACGATGTTAAATATCTGCATATGTCATGGCCCAGAAACCCAATTCTTGAGTATGAACCCTAGAGAGCGTCTTACTCAGATCTGTAAGGAAATACACACTGTTCGTGTTGGTCAACAGAGGCCAACCCACCGCCTTCATGAGGCACGTGGATAAAGAAAACGAGGGGAAGGGAGGTGTGGCTGATCACGCAGCGGCCAGAGAAGCATGTAGAGCTACACATAGCCACACAGTGGCCATACAAACATTTTATGTGGAAAATCATGTCATTTATGTACATTGAACACAATGCTATGGTCTCTCAATAGCTGAATGGATTAATCAACCATGGCACCTTCATACGGTGGAATACTACTCAGCAAGGAAAGGAGAAGGCCTGCTGACTCAGGCCACAACATGATGAATCTCAAAAGCATCGTGCTAAGTGAAAGAAGCCAGACACAGAAGGGTATGTGTGGTAGAATTCCGTTCATAGGAAAGTGGAGAACAGGTAACTAATCCACAGGCATAGAAAGTTGGGGCGGGGATGGTAGAACTGACTCCAAAGAGCTAAAAGGCAACTTATCCTGGGGTGATGGAAATGTTCCATGTCTTGAGTGTGGAGGTTACATGAATGTATACATTGATCAAAATGTACCAGATTAGATAGCTAATGGCTTTTATTAAATATAAATGAGCCTCAACAAAGTTTATTTAAAACATTTTACTGTAACTAATAAAATAGAAGAGATAAAATGCTTTAAAATTTTAATGACTGTACATATATCGATGTTTCTATGTCTACATGTCTATGTGTCTATGTAATTATGTATTTATGTATCTATCTACATACTTACGAGTAGGTGTTTATAGTGAGGAGGAAAAGGAACTTGTGAATGGAGAACTGTGGTAGATTAGATCACTGTTCCCAACACCTCACTCCCTCCGGTTAGAGAATTATGCTTCTCCCCCTTGGCCATGTCTCCAATGAGGCAGAGTAACTATTCCTGCCCCTTGACTTTGAACTTGGTTATGTGGCTTGAGCAATGGGATGCTAAAGGATGTGACACAAGCAAAGGCTTTAAATGTGCATATGGGGCTTGCCCTCCTCTCTTGCATCGTTATGATCTGCCATGATAAGCTCATGCCCTAGGCAACTGCTGCCCTTTCAGTCTGGGCCCCGTGGAGCAGACCTGTGCCTTCAGGAAGCCGGGAGCTAACCTGACCCAGCTGGGCTCCACCAGGATCAACCAAACCACAGCCCACCTGCACACCCACACGTGTGAAAAAATTTGTAAATTTGTTGCTGTAAGTCTCTAGGACTCTGAGGTTGTTTATTACACAGCATTAGGACAGTAGTAGCTGACTAATACACAAAATAGAGGGAAAAATAATCTATATATATAAAAGCCTAAGTGACCAGCCAACCAGCTGGCTGGCCGACCGTCCAGTAGCTATGATGCCCAATGACCACCAGGGGGCAGACACTCAATGCATAGGCATGGAAACATGGAACAGACTGATGAATCTCAGAGGGAAGGGGGGAAGGCGGAAAGAGATTAACCAAAGATCTTATATGCATACTAGAGGCCCGGTGCATGAATTTGTGCACCGGTGGGGTCCCTTGGCCTGGCTTGTGGGAATCTGTCCAAAACCGGGCCTGGCCTGTGGGGATGTGGCTGAAACCGGCTCTCTGACATCCCCCGAAGGGTCCCGGATTGCAAGAGGGCACAGGCCAGGCTGAGGGACCCCACTGGTGCACGAATCCATGCACTGGGCCTCTAGTAATAAAACAAAAAGCCAAAGGGAAGCCTTGAGTGAATAAATAGTGATAACATGCCCTATGAATTAAGAATAATCACTTAATTTCAACACCTGAGGTTAAGAACAACCCACCCATCCACAGACGCCCCCTCTACCTGCAGGGCACCCCACTTCTCGGCAGAGCCTTTGCCCGGCTGTCCCTCCTGCCTGAGAGGAAGTTCCTGTGGCTGAATCCTACTTACCCTTCAAGGCTCAGCCCAGACAGCCACCCAGGAAACGTTTGCTGTAGTAACTTCCCGCCGTGCCCACACTGTGCCCCACACACATCATCTCCCTTTATTTTCATAACCCTCTTGTGAGGTGGGTGCCATTGCTGTCCCCACCCCGTAGGTTCACCGCCAGGGCGGTTAAGTGATTTGCCCTTGGCCACAGCCAGCAGGTGGTGGAAATCTACGGGTCTGACCCCAAAATCTGGGTCCAAAATGAAGGAACTTTGTGTCTAGATGTCTTTTAGGGTTCCGTCTTCTGTTGGCGTTTCTTGCGGTCCCTGGAGGGAGGCAGGACTCAGGGAGTCTGCGCCGTGAGGAAAACCAGAATGTGCCTGAATCTGAGAATATCACCCTGGGGAGGGCTCCATCCCTAAGAAATTATAAATATTTCATTTCCCCCCTTCTCTCCTGCCTTGTCAGCCCCGAGATGAAGTTATCGACAGGAGCCCGGGTGATGGACACATTGGCGGGGCTCTGTATTGATGAGTTAATAGATTGTTGGCTTTTTTTTTTCCATCCTCGGAAAAAAACAAGAAGTCTTGACAAGCTGTTTTCACTGCTGTGGGTGGGTGGGGGCTGCTGCAGGAGGTGATGGAAAGCCGGGCCTGGGTCAGGTGAGACCCATCAGACGGTCCTGTCAGCTCGACCTTCAGCGTTGACCCTGCATCCGACCACCTCCCACCCTCGCCACTGCTGGCCCAGGTCCCAGCCCATCACCCCTGGGCTGAGCCCTGGGGCTGTTTTCCCACTGGCCTCCCTGCAGCTGCCCTTGTCGCTCAGCTCATTCTGCACCCAGCGGCCAGAGCAGGTTTGGAACAGAAGCCAGACCCCCGACTCCTCTGTCACAGCCCCGCAGGGCACCCCCAGGGCAGCCGCAGCCCACAGTCCGTCCTGTGGCCCCGGCTCTCTCTATCCTCACGCTCTCCAGCCGCGGCCTCCTGGCCGCTCCTCAGACTCCCCCGCACGGTCCGGCCTCAGCGTGTTTGCACTGCTGTTCCCTCTGCCCCCTTGCTGTTCCCGGAGCTGCCCCTCAGACGCCGCCCTCTCCTCCTGCAGGTCTCCACTCACAGCCCCAGCACAGCCTCCCTGACACCTGCATAACACCCCCGTTTCTCTGTCCACTTTTATTTTCCTCCCTGGTACTGATGACCTCTTGATATTATTATCCACGCGGTTATTTATCTGTTCATTGTGTTTCTCTCCATAGAGTGGAAGCTCGGCGAGAGAAGGGGCTTCGAATGACTTGCTCACAGCTGTATTTTTGGACCCAGAACCGGGTCAGCCCATGATAGCCTGAGGACAAAGCCGCCTTGCAGCCCGGCCCAGGTCTGTGCGGGGCTAAACGCCACCTCCCCACTCCTGGCCCTGAGCTCCCCTCCCACCAAGCAGCTCTCACCGCTGCCCCTCCCTCCCAGCATCTCTCCAGCTCCATGCTGCCCTCCGTCCCAGCATCTCTCCATCTCCATGCTGCCCTCCCTCCCATGCTGTCCCTCTCACCCCTCCCCGTCCCACTCCCCACTGATCTAAGACCTGTTACTCCCGAAAGCACTTGGTGTCAGAGCCCCGAGAACTTCTCCAGGTCCTTTGCTACCATCTGTCCCTTTGCTCATTGAGGTCAGCAGCAGGAGCCCAGGCGGCGAAGCTGTGATCCTCGGATCTTCCAGCAAAAGCTTTCGGGGCTCCATTTCCCCAGGACAGCGGAGCGAGCTCTCACCTGAGGGCACAGAGACCATCCACCTGACACTATGGCTGAGGCTGGTCCCAGTGCCCTGGGTTCAAATCCCGGCCCCACGCTGACTGCCTGTGACCTTGGGCCAGTTACCTCACCTTCCTGTGTCTCCATTTCCCCACCTGAAAATGAGAATAATTGCTCCAAACATAGAGTTGCTGTGGAAATTAAATAAGGTAACACATGGATAGCACTCAAAACAGAGTGCCTGACACAGGGAGTGTGAAATACTGGGAGATAGCCCTAACCGGTTTGGCTCAGTGGATAGAGCGTCAGCCTGAGGACTCAAGAGTCCCAGGTTCGATTCCGGTCAAGGGCATGTACCTTGGTTGCGGGCACATCCCCAGTAGGAGGTGTGCAGGAGGCAGCTGATCGATGTTTCTCTCTCATCGATGTTTCTGACTCTCTATTCCTCTCCCTTCCCCGCTGTAAAAAACCAATAAAATATATTAAAAAAATAAATACTGGTAGATAAATTAATATATATATCCCCCGCCAACAGCCCCCTCCCCGCCGAGGCTGTAGTCGCTACCGTCTGCCCAGAAGTGCCCACAGCCCCTGGGCCCTGGCATGGTGGGGAGTCTGCCATAGAGACAGGGCAAGAGCTGGGTGAGAAGTTTGACTCCAGGCGTTCCCCTCGCTGGGCTTCGGTTTAACTGTCTGCAGCAGGCAGCTGATTAGATGCCCTGAGAAGTGGAGGCAGGGGTAGGGGTGGTGGGGTTGGGGGGGGGGGGGGGGGGGGTTACTGATGGTGTCTCCCTCCTTTCTCCCCACCGCTCTCCCTGTAAGA